AAAAAAAAAATCGGCAAGAAGATAAACGTGTCTGAAGAAGCCCAACAAGGAAGATTCTTTATCAAGGAACCACTTTATTGAGCAGCACTGCTTGAATCAAAGAGAAAACAACCAAACTTCATTGATAAGGACTACTTAATGCTATTAAATGGAACATACCATCAAGTCAAGCAGCAATCTGGTTATATTTCCAAAATATCAAATATCATTAACCTAGTGTTAGCCCATTTTATGTAAATCCATTCAATCACTCAGAAATATAGATATAAAATAATATAAGCAAAGAACTTAGAATATACACATGAATGATGTATCTTTCCAAAAAGATAATATGTAAGCAAATTTTAATAATACAGCGGTATCCCAAACAATGGAGAATACAAGACAATGGGAAAAATGGGAAAAGTTATTACACACAATGAATGATCTTTATTTAAACATAAAAAGAGAATAGGAATTTTTAAAATTCATAAATTAACCAGAAAAAGATGGATTATAGAATATCAAAGATACATTTCTATGGATAAATTCTGACACATTGCTAGGCTCTGTAGCAAATAAAATCATTGAGAGTTGATAAATACACAATGGAGTTCTACTTAGTCAAAAAGAAGAATGAAATTATGTCATTTGCTAGTAAATGGATGGAACTGGAGAACATTATTCTAAATGAAATAAGCCAGACTCAGAAAACCAAAAGTGTGGAATGTTTTCTCTCATATGTGGAAGCTAGGGAGAAAAAAATTAATCAAAAATAGGGATCTGGCGAAAACAGAAGGGAGATCAGTAGAGTAGAAACTGGGGACCAAGGAGGAAGCAGGAAGGGAAGGAAGAAGACAGGAAAAGGGGAAGAACTGGGGAATGAAGTTGACAAAATCATACTAGGCTCATGTATAACTATACCACAATACATTCTAATTTTATATAAGACTATAATGCATCAATTAAATTAATTAAATAACTAGAAGGACCCAATGCAGTAGAGGAAGAGGGAGGAGGGAAGTGAAGTGGGTAGTACTGAGGATTGCAATGGAGAAAACTATGTTATATGCATTTATACTTAAGTCAAAATGAACCCTACTATTATGTATAATTATAATGCACTAAAAATGTTTCCAAAGGAGTTTTAAATGAATTTTCATCAAATTATCTTTAATATACAGATATAATAAAATACCTTTTTTTTTTAATGGCTGGGAATGTAGCTCAAAAGTCAATGCCCGTAGGTTCAATCCCCAGCACTACCAAACAACAAAAATAAAGACCCCATCAGCTCTACAAAGAGATGGATGTATCTGTAGTTTTAAGCAATGATGGGAAAATATTATAAGTGAGAAATAATCATTTTTGAAAGCACCCCTATTTAATTAAAAAAATTTTTAATCACCTAGGTTTTCTTAACAGAGCTACCATTTGTTTATTGAATGGGTAGAGAGCTTTATGAATTCATTATCTTTTAGCTCTGAAAAGATGCTTTTAAAATGCTGATGGGTGTTAAACTTTTTATTTCTACTTTAGCTTAAATTAGTTTTCTATATTTTCTATTAAATAAAAGCATGTTTGTGTGTTTTGAAAAGAGATGATAAATATATTTTATTATATAAAATTTTAAGGCATCTATCTATACGATTAACATTAAAGCTTGGTAAGAACCTATGTAAATTTGACAAAGGATTTGCATCTCAAGGA